CAACAACAACAACAACAACAACAACAACAACAACAACAACAACAACATGTTTTTAAAAAACAAACAAACATCCATATAAAAACACACACGCATATACACACACACACCGTTTGGCCAAATCTACCCATGTGGGTCCCAGGTCCGCCCGAACCAGGTCTCCCAGTGAAGTGGTGATTGAGCACGGCCGCCAAATAGAAGGCGGTACGGTGCCACGCCCAAGGGGGGAGCTTCTCGGTGGCCTCCTTGAAGCCTTGTTCCAACTCCTCCCGTCGGTCCAAGAGATGCAGCACACTAATGCCTTGGTTAACGCTCTCGGTGGTCGCGCTGCACCGCATTTCACCACGGAGACGCGGCGCAGTTTCTGCCGTCTCCAGGGAAACACGTGTTTTTTTTTTTGCCGCTGCTGAGGAAGTCGAAGGTCACCAAACGCAAGGTGCGCACGGTGCGCAAGGCGTATGTTAACAAGACGAAGACATGAATGTGACATGACATACAATAATAAAAGTCAGTCATGCGTCTTCCAACTGAACTGAATCTGCCATCATCGTGCATTCTATATTATAAGCTGACATGTTTTGGAAGCTTTCTAGTGATCAATCATGTTGACTTGTCCAAAAAGAAAGAGGAGAACAATCCGACAAAACATCTTCAGCAAAATCGCTCAAGACGTAGAACAAAGAAGAGGCAGACCAGAATAAGAAGAGCACGAACGCGCGTCGGTTGGCCATTCCCACGCAGTTCCCGACGAACGGACAATGATGATCCATCCCGTGAACGCACCGGCGGCAGATGCGACAGTGATGACTCTTTGGCGGCTTTGCTTGTTGGCATGGCCGACAGAAGGTGTAGCCTTCCTTAGGAGGACGACGCTCCTTCCAGCTGGAAAGAATGAAATGGCTGTGCATGTTGATGTTCGGATCCGCAGTGTGTATGTAGAATGTAGACTCTTGAGTCAGAAAAGCTCCCTAGACATGGATTGTATAAAACCTCTTTATATTTGTTTTTTCATTGACCAAGAATCTACATTACGGTGTACGATTACCAAGGAACTTGGATAATAAATAGACACATCTAATTTCCGAAAAGAAATCCGGCCGTGGCTCAAAATCGGATCGTAAAACCTAGGGGTGGCATGTGTTCCTTAGTGACCCAGTAGTTTGTTTGGGGCACCCGATGTTTGAGCCATGGCCATCAGGCTGCTTCTTCCTAAGGCCATCTCAGCTTCCCATTTGGGCGTTCCTAGCTCATCTGCTTCGCTGCGAGAGCGCTCGCGCTCGGTCACTCCCAGCTTCACGAAGCCTGGATCCCTCCAGACTGCCTCCAGGTAGTTCACAGTGGTGTTTGTCCAAAGCCAAAGGCATAGAAACCAATGCACATAGAATGATGGCTCCTGAAAATTCGATCTAAAAGTACAGTAGCTGAGTGAGCAAAACAGCTACTTACAAATGACCCCATGTGTCTGTCTTTTATGACTGCAGGGTGTTTTTCTTTGATTTGTGGATCTCCAACCAATCTGTGGGCTACTCTGAAGCAGCACTACAGTCGACTGCATCCGAGAGAGGGAACACGCAGTGAGATTCATGGGGATTCAATGGATTATTCACGGGCAAACCCTGCCTCTGCATTTGGCAAGAAGTGCGGATAGATGTATAGAACGCCTGGGCCAGGGTAGGTGCCGCCGTGCTCCTAAAACCATCCGGGCTCCGGTCAGCCGGTCAAATCATGTCTTTGGGGAAGCGAAGCGGTCATCGTGTCTCTGAGGTCTTTGACTGCTGCTGAAGCTATTTACTTTTCTTTCGCGTTTGCCTCTGCAAGCCAAACCTATGTACGTTGAAACAACAACAGGTGTGCTACACAATGCTGCAAGCCCTTTGAGATTGGTCTGACCTGAACCAACCACCAACGGCTCCGTATCCAGAATCCATTCGCACCTGTCCAGCTCGGGACTCAGTCGCACCGGTGTAACTGGGTTTCCCCGTCAGAATCCCAGGAAGCCACGAAGGGGACAGGAAACCAGGGTCGCTGGGTCCAAAATGCTTTGAAACCACGGGTGATCTACTTTGAACTTATTTGTGGCCTCAAACACGACCAGTGGGACTGCCATAGGACTGCCGACTTATTGAGGCTGGCTTGGGGGTGGGTCAACTGAATATACTTATAATATATATATATATGGAATATACATATATATACATATATATATAGTCAATGCAAGCAAATCTCCGTTTGTTGTACGTTCGCATACACATCCCAGTCCCATGGAGTGTTTGGGTGTTATGCTATACATGCACCAAGAGGTGCGTTCGAGGTGTCCAAGGTGTCCAAGGCTCCCTCGTCCGTCCCGCGGGATGTTTTCCGAGTGAAGAGCCCGTCCGCCTGCGAGGGTGATGCAGTGAATGGTGCACATCACCTCGGAGGTTTGGTTTTTCTTCACCCTGGCTGGTTTAAATCCGCACCAGGGCCCCCACAAACCATCAAAAACCTGGCTTTCCCTAGAAAAAGAAGCAAAACACCGGTATTTTTCGTTTGAGGACTGGTAGGTTGGCCTCTCAGGTCGTCTGTTGGTCAACCAGAGTCCCCCGACGCGCTTTCGAGCGTGAAACCCATCCGTCGGCTCCGTCGGTTCGAACAAAAGGGCGGAAAGATCCAGTTCGGGCATGCTATGGCTATGCAACAGAACATCATGATTGTGCCAAACATGTTGTAGGTCTACCACCTGATGCTAGTAACAAGAGGCTACTAGGGGCTCCTGGCCGTACTACTGGGAGCAAGTAGCTACTAGCTACTAGTTGATCGATTGTAACTTCAAAGTTCTGTAGGCCTTCCCCGTCACTCCATGACACGCCAGGTGACGAAAGCCACCATGCCCCAGCTCCACACGCGACGCACCAGTGGTTGACTGATGAATTCGGTGCACACGTCCAAGGGCGAGGACCTCCTTGCAAGGAAGAACATGCCCGTCCTTCCCAGTGGGTCCGGGGTTACCTTCGTTCATTAATTACACAAAAGAAAGCATAGAATCTCTCAGATCTTTCTTTGGATCCACCATTTTCTGGGGTTAGTGTCTTCCCAGTGGTGTCTCTCGTTCACAGCAACGAGTCCTGGTTCCTGTTGTGTGACGATTTGGGAACAACACATGTTGTGTGATTCCATCCTACGCTCCTACTGTTGAACAAAAATGCACCACTAAATTTGATTCTATTCCCTTTAGAGTTTGTATGAGCTTGTTAGTTTGGTATCGGTATCCTAAGTGCTGCTAGTGTCTTGCATCGTCCAATAAGTACACGAATTGAATCAAATTCATGCCTGGCACTAGTTGTGCTTGATGACCTGGTGTCTTCCAGAGCCATGGGAGACTCAGATGCTGAACCGTCCAACTTGCAGAACGATGTTCCTAGACTTCGACTTGCTTCTCTCAGACTTCCAGTATACACCCTGTTATTCCTGAGCGCTTGCAAGGCCGGGGAGACATGTTTTTAGTTCGAACATGAGAACCATGACAATGAGAGGATACTCTTGAACATATGTTGCCGTAGGTCGCTTCTGAGTGATTGCGGTGATTGGAATTTGCTTTGTTTCTTAGTTTCATCGTGTTTTAATTCTTTCCAATCCTCGGTGTTCCACCAGTCTGGAAGTTGACGCAAAACCCAGACACGATGCGTACACCGACCCCCCTTTCCCCGGGAAAACGAGGAAGATTGTGCTGTCCTTCTTGCCAATGCAACGAGTCAAAGGGTTATAGCGTGAACTTTTGGAGTCGTGCCTCTCATGCCGTCCTTCAACATATCATTCTCTCTATGCAATCCATGAAGAAAACAACACGACCGACGGGTACGATGCGGTACAATGACGTGTCCTTGGAAGCTCGCGGTCATTCAAGGCGCCACAGGAGGGGCAAGCGACGCGGGAGACATTCAGCGCACACTGGAGATGCTGAGAACCTGTGCGTGGCACGCACACGAGGGCCTACCGTAGGCCTACCCTCCGTGGGCGTGACCTCCCATGGCTGGCCTACTTTTCACCCAACCAGAACGCATATATGGGGCGCCCTACAATGGGCGCCCATACCCATGTAATTGCCACACATGTCATTTCGGGCACCAGGCAAATCCAGGTCACATCCCCAGCAAATGAGGCTCAAAGGCTTCAACTCAGCCCCATCAGCTAGACCAGTTCCGCGCTTGGCCATGACAGTGCAACTGCCCGAAGAGCAAATAATCTAATATCAGTCAGTTTAAGATGGTTGGGTACTTCAATATCGGTCATGTTGACGTCCCGCTCGTTCAATTGAAGGGTATATATATATATATACTTCATCTTGGGTCTGGTGTTCACCCCAAAGCAGCCAGGTCTGGTCAAGCGTTTGGTCTCATACAAGCACCATACAGACATCCATACAGATCGCATACAAAAATCTGGAAAGCTTATGGACAAGCTCTTTTGCAGGTCTGATTGTCCTTCAGATCTTTGGCTTGCTTCCAACAGTAGTGGAGCCTTCCAACATCTGATCATGTAAAAAGTGGGTTTAAGGGTCCATTGAGCCTCTAGAATTATCCCGGCAAGAGACCCCAAACAGTGTGCCCCAGCGATCTAAGCACAGTTGCTTAACCCCACCGTAAGAACCCCTAAGTGTGTCCACACTGCTTGGGGGAAAACTATTTCAATAGCAGCTTCCAAGCATACTAAGCCCGTCTACTCGGGCACAATCTGAGATGACACTCCTTTACTCAAGTACGTACATGTTCCCTCCAGATCTTACTGAGGTTCGATGTGCAGAGAGAAACCCTGAACTTGGTGGAAGTTCTTGACTCTTGGACTGTCGAAGACATGAACACCGTCACCCCTTCAGAAGATCCCTATTTCAAAGCTTGAGCCAAGAATGGCAGATATATATGCATGCAGATCTGGTCTGACTCCTGGTATGATATGCTACATCCCGCTTGCAAAGTCCATAAGAAAGAAACCACAACATCCACATCTGAAAATTGAGCCTTGAGCTTTCGAGAGCAACCACCCGTCTCTAGCACGTCTCTTTGTAGAACGGTCACTGTCCCAGTTGGGGAACTCCCGGCACGAAACCGCTGAGGCTGAAGAGCCATCGGTGCCGGTGATGGTCGGCGAAGACAACCACTAAACCCTACGTTCGTCCAGTTTGACCCAGAAAAACCTGGTCTGTACCTGGTTTTGTATGACCATCTTCAGTAAAATATGAGGTCAAACTGACTTGTAGGGAGATGTAAATGGAATGCACCGGAGTCTCTGGCATCCACCGAAAGTTGGAGGTGAACACGGAGGTTCCAAGATCAAAAACGTCACATCTGAACTCCGTTGATGGAGTCTCACGGAGCTCAATCACTGAAGATCGAAATACACCCCAATATCTGAATCCGTGAAGTAAGGGTTCCAAGATCGGAAGATCAAAAATTCTACACCCAATTTACTTGAGATACGCATCTCAATAGGAGAGGTACGCAAGTCGAAAGGAGGGATTTCTTGGTGCCATTTCATCACACCATTCAGTGGCCTTTCTGTAAAACTTCGATGTGTGTGCATTCGGCAGGGATCTGGTTTCAGGTGCACCCACTTGATCCATTTTGACCTCCGTTCGACACCCTCACCCCTTCCAAGTTTAGATCAACCGAAATCATTTGACATCCCATTCCCAGTCCTTTCCTAGACAGGTTTTTCACACCCCCACGGAAAAAACACCTATCCCAAATGTACCCATGGTCTGTACCCATGGTCTGTACCCATGGTCTGTTGGCCTGATGCCCCCGTCACTGAGACGCCCTCACGAACGCATCACGAACACACACCGCTCCCAAGGACCATCTCGCGAGGCCTCTCGAGGAACGGAGAGCGTGGTTTCGAGGAACTCCCGTGGCCTAGCCTATCCGTAGGCTTATCCTAGGGGCTACGCTATCCATAGGCCTTTCCTAAGGCCCAGGCACCCTATCCATAAACCCATCCTGGACCCTATCCATAGGCCTTTCCTTGGGCCTAGGCTACCCTATCCGCATCCCGGGCCCATGCTCCCCCATCCATAGGCCTATCTAGGGGCTAGGCTGCCCATGGGAGCCTACACTACCCTATCCATAGGCCGATCCAATAGGGCCTAGGCTACTGTGCAGGTAGACTGTGATCCTCCAGATGAAAAAGATTACTGATCATATATACGACCAAGCTAAGCGTCCATGTTTTGCACCTCGTGAACAACAGTTTGTTTGTGTGAGTGATGGGCAGTAGGTTTAAAGGAATGATCGGTGCAAGAGAGGGTAGTGTAGGCTCCAGGATAGGCCCATGGGCAGCCTAGCTCCTAGATAGGCCTATGGATGGGGGAGCATGGGCCCCGGGATGCGGATAGGGTAGCCTAGGCCCTAGGGGCCTATGGATAGGGTAGGGTAGGGGTTAGGATTGCTTAATTGCAGGTTCTCCCCCTCTTGGACAAGAAACGGTCTAGAATGAAGTATAGGACCGGATAACCCCACACGTTAGCAACTCAGCAAGAGAGAATGTCTGCGTAGGTGGTTGGTGAAAATTGGTGGGTGGCAATTGGTTGGTGTGACAATTGATTGATGACAATTGGTTGAGGACCATGTTTTTTGACAAAAACAGCCCCTCAAAAATAACCCTTTCAGAAGGGCAAAGACCCACCAGCACCGGCCAGCACCGGCCTGGAGAAGACAATTGGCAAGCAAATCATCGGTTGATGACATGGCAATTGGTTGATGACAATTGATGACATGACAATTGGTTGGTGACAATTGGTGGATAGCAATTGGTTGATGACAATTGATGACAATTGGTTGGCGACAGTTATATAGTTGGTGGAAATTTGTTGTTAACAATTGGCTGGTGACAATTTGTTGGTGGCAATTTATTGGTGACAATTTGTTGCTGAGAAGTAGTTGGTGGCAATTGGTGGGTAGCAATTGGTTGGTGACAATTGTTGGTTGATGACAATCGGTTGATGACAAGTGGTTGGTGACAAGCGGGAGGCGGGAGGAGGAGGAGGAGGAGGAGGAGGATGAGGAGGAGGAGGAGGAGGAAGGAGTGGATACCACACTAAAAACAAAAAAAACACACATCAATGTGGGGAACAAGGATGCAAACCCTCTGAAGGTTCCAGGAATTGTGAGCAAAAAGCAACCAAAACAAGAATTCACTCATCTAAAATGAACCGCGGACTCATATTCTATTTTTTGGCTGTGGGTCTAAGCCAGGATACCTTGGCTGACCTAAAAAAAGTGACTTCAAACTACATGATGTTGGGGCTCCACGTTTTTCTACCGCACGACCAACAAAGAGTGAACAAAAACTACGTTGACCGTTTGGCAATCTCTGGAGCACAGAAGTCTCTGGAGCAAGGATGAGTCCAGTGCAAGGTGCCACAAAGGACACCCCTGCAATGAAAAAACATAGGTTCAAGAATGGGATCGAAATCAAAGATCTTTCCCGTCAGAATAACACATCAAATCACATTAGATTTGCAGCCGTGTTCCGTGTTGGCAAGAATGGCCTGAACGCCAGGCATGCGCCTCAAAAAAGATAACCATGGCTCCTTCATCACTAATAGGCAGGGGAGGCAGGGGAATCGCAAGACATCAAGAAAATGGTCACATTCATCACTGGCAAGCCAACCAAGCGAGAACGTGACCTTCATCCTGCCAGAATAAAAACACACACACACCTGACTCCAGCGGCTTCAAGGACTCTGGCCAAGTCTGACGAAGTGCTGGTGCTTGGGACACTAAGCAGCGGAACTCTGGTGGCACTAAGCAGCAAGCGGAAATGGCGCATCACCAGGCGAAGTAGCAAAGGCTCGACCATGTAGGCAGGCCACTCCTGCAAGGTCACTTCACCATGAAGCACCAGCCACGACTCTGGAGTTGGAAGCAACTCCGTGAGCTGAAGTCAATCATGTCCGAACAGGATCGAAGGTGAAAGACCACGGCTTGCTCACCAGCATGCAACTGCTGAACACTTGAGGTGGATCCAACAGTGCGTTCACATGAACTGATTGTCTTCATTTCATCTGGCAAGATCCCACACACTCTGCCTTGAGCCACTCCGCCAGAGCAGGGGCCTCGCAGGTTGCAAAAATCACAAGCATGTTCGCATCCTGAACTGTTCTGGCAAAAGTCTTCATCTGTCGGAGACAGGGATCTTGCTCAGACTGGAACATGTGAGCTTCATCCAAAATGAACTCAGCAGGTGAAGTATACTGAGTCCATGACTGCAGCCCCTTCTCTACTGATTCCATGTACAGAGCAAAATGTGTAAGGTCTTGTTCTTCGGCTTCACCCACTCACCTTGATCGTTCATTTCCATGGCAAGTTGCGATCCTGACTCTCTCATGATGTGAAGACGTGGAGCGTGCGTCTTGGGCATCCAAGCCTCAGCTGCCCAAGCACAACCCCTCTGGAGCCTCCGTCCGATCTGTTTGCATCCACGTCTTAGCTGCCCAAGGACAACCCCTCTCTTCAAGTTGGTGACGATGAGTGGGAGAACTGTTGACTTGCCACTTCCTGTTGGTGCTTGGAAGGAGACACGGTGATCATCAAGTGTCCTGAGGAGTTGTGGAACAGTTGGGGCTCCAGGCTGGGCTCCAGGTTTTGACCCATCCACATTTCTGGTTTTGAACCCAAACATGCAAAGGAATTTGCCTGTACACGGCAGCCAGAAACACGCAAGCCGCAGAAAGCGGATTACTTTTCCTGCGACTTCGACGATGGAGGGACTTCGATGTCGATGGAGGGACCGCTGGGTGTGTAGCTTCAATAGGAAGACCTCCCAGGCAGGGCCCCCTGGTTTCGATTCGGTTCGAGTCTGGAAACCCATATGTGGCTGTTCTGGACATGGACCAAAACCCCATTGGTCGGAGAAGTCATCCCTATCAAAATCATATACCCTGGGACTCCACCATTGTTTTAAAGGATTTTAATGGTCTTTACCGCTGCAACCACTCAACCAACTCAGCCATTCTACTAATGGTCCTTGAAGGCTAGTGGACTGTGAAACACATAACACGTTCGCTTCTCACTAGTTGGGAGGATGTCACTCCTCCCGTGCTTTTCAGGCAGCCCGGTCCACACACCGCATGGATCCTCGATTCCGCTTCGCACCCCCGAACCTCCTCGGCCGATCATGGCGAGCGGCGTCCAGTGCGTCGAGTCGAGCGCGATGAATGGCACCGGAGGGGGGGGGTGACTGCCCTGGACGACCTTGACATGGTTCATCATGGTTCCACCGCTGGACGGGCTACTCTAGGGGCTCCTGGCCACCAACCTCCGTGAAACGAAGGTGCTTGGAGTGGGTGTGTTTTTTGGGGGGTCTAACCGGATATATGATATATGGTTGGAACCCTAATACGGATTATGGATTTTATGAAAGGTCTCATCTCGGCACACGAGCATCGAGCATGGGCAGGCTGAGTCTCGTGAATCTCACCACGAAATGATCTACATGATCTACACCAGGACCCCCAGTCGGGGTGGTCAATGGACACCCCGAATGACCCCTCTTCGGGGCTATTCATGGACACTCCTTGACCCCCTAAGGTGCTGACATGAGTTGGTCGTCGTAGTTGCAAGGAAGTCCGGTCGTTTCTTGCAGTCACCTTGCTTCTCGGATGTCTTCGGTAACCAGTTTCATGGAGTCTCTTTTGAGGACCTATCCGATCTATCCTCAAGGGATTGTAGATCCATTGTAGCCTTCTCATTGAATGCAGCTGGAACCGTTGCTCAAGTTTCAGTCTCCAGGATGTGTGGCTATGTTATGCAATTGACTGGATTTCGTCGTGGCATGGTTGGATGCTCACACACATTTAGCTTGATGCAGCGATTGCAAGGCTGAGAGCCTTAAGGAGGGGCGTTGCCGAGCAATGATCCAAGGCTGAACCGATGTGATCTGCTCCATGAATTCAGATCAGCATCCTGATCTATCTAGAATCTATACTTTGTAAAATCTAAACACTCCATACAAGCTATGGCCTACACTCACCACCAATACCACCAAATGTTGGCAATATTTACACACGTGGAGCGTCCGGGTAAGTAGATTGCAAACGCGGTCAGGTCCGAAAGAAGCGACGGTTCGCTGAAGTGGCCAGTTTCACTCTGGCGGAAACTGAGTGGTAGAACATGGTATACAACATGAATACCTTTCTCACAATATAGAACAACTTACAAACCACCCCCAACAAAACTGAACGACATACTCATCATTACTCATCCAAGGGGCTGTCCATGTTGCACCAACAGGGGAGACGCCCACCAACGTCTGTGGAGAACATCCAGTCTCATGCACCGTCGCTACGAGCGATTGGAATCGGGAAGGTGCAGAACGTCTGAGTAGACCCAAAGATGCCAAACCTCCAAGTGACTACACTCCCCAAAACCAACATAGACCCTAGCAATGGCCCCCTGGGTCCGAGTGTTTGCCTCTACCAACCAGTGGTTTTCAGGGTCTATGTTAGTCTTCGAGGAGGTAACATGGAAGTGGAACATGGTCCATGGGCAAATGAGTTTCATCTACGAACACCATATGATGTGTTCGTCGGAGTATACTACAAAGAATAACAATTCAGGATCGGCAGGGTGCATTCTCACGGACCGTGATGCACCGTGGATCCCTCTTTCCACTGATCGTTGAGAGCAGTGACGAAAAGCCGGCCTTTGGTCCTGATCCGATCTCTCCTTCAGCTTCTTTTTCTTCCGCATCCTTCCTTTCACTGGAAGACAAGCGATCCTTCGATCTCTCCAGCGCGATGCTCGCGCCGCGCGCGCGCGCCGCGCGCCTCGCGCGGGGGGGCCCTGCGCCTGCGTTAGACGTTATGTACATCCGTGGCCCGGCGACGCCGCGTGGCGTCCCTCACACTGGCACACTGGTAGTCCGTTCCCAGGCCTCCTGGTGGGTGGATCTGATCTGGGGATGTGGTTTCAGAGCTTCCGATGGCACTGGTGCCGTTCGAGGTCCTTTCAAGCAGCAACCCTTTGAGGGCATGGTGGGGATGGTGACCCCTCTGATGAACATCTCATGTGTTCATCCGACCCGGGGACAAACAGTGGACAGGGAAAGCGGGGAGGGGGGTCATGACACTCGGATGAGGCCACTGGGAAGACCTTGTTTCCTCGAGAAAAAGATCAAATAACGCAAATAACGTCAATTAGTAGGCCATAGGTGGATTGAAATCCACTTCCAGGTCGGAGTCAGAGGTTTCCTTTTTGGTGCATCAACATGATGGGAAGATACTTTTGTTTTTGCCTTAACCTCCTGATCCCTGCGGATTCTCCCAATCCGTCAAGACGGCGGTCGCTCTGCCAGTTGAGATGCATGCTTGGGGTATGCTCTGCATATGCTCTGAATGCAGTACCTGATATGCTTTCAGAGCACCCTTGGTTCCAAACTCGGCTGCGCCTGTCCTGGCTGATCCGCTTCATCATCGCCTCGTTTGGGTCAGGAAGATGGAGGAAGGGCGGCTCCAGTTTTCATGTCGGTTCATTTCAAGCCAGCATTCAATTCAAACATGTATTCTTCTTTGCCCTTTGTTGTTTTTTGGGGAGCTGTTCAACTCAGTCTGTTCTTTTGAGCGTTTCTGGTACAGTTGATCTACTTTTGGTGGATTCACTCGTCAAGTGGGCCTTAAAAGAATCCCAATGACCGACTCACGAATTTTGCACCATCCCAAGTTAGGTGGTTCAAATGGCCCACATTCAGAAGACAGGTTCCAAAAACTCATCTCTTGGGTTTGTGCCATCTACTCTGAAGCTATACTGGTTTTCTTGGACACACCGATCAGCCGCGAGCAGTCCACGCAGAGCTTTGACCGGTCGGCCCGGTCGGTCCTTACTCCACGGTAGGACTCGTTACTGCCAGTTGCGAAGAAAATCTCCCAGTATGGCTGGTGCAACTGAGGCTGACTGAGTGAAGCATGAAGTTGTAAAACCGTCGCAACTCAATCATGGTCTGCTCAGTAGATGGAGTGTTGATTGTTAAAGGACAGCGTCTTGCGGCCTTTCTAGGTATTCCAATCAACACATAACATATACTTGTTTCCTTGGTGTTCAAAAAGATCTGATGTTGAATGTTCCCCCTTTGAAACACCTGAAACCAAGCAAAATCTTCAACTGAAAGCATCCCCTCCTTGTAGCCGCAGCCGCATCGACCAACCTCATTGACCATGTAGCGTTTCTGAACTTGGATTTGCTTAAGGAATGGCTAACACACTCCCCACCCAGACGCTCATGGACCCTCAAAATCCCTCGCTCCAATGATGCGAAGGGGCAGAAGGGGCGATTGACCCAGCTTGGGGAAAAGAACACATCAGCCGATCTCCAAGACACCAATGATGTATACTTTCTGGCCCAATCTGATGCTTTCTGGTTCGGTGAACCAACTAGACCAACCACCGCCACCCGCGCCACCCGCCCCACGACCACGCGAGACTGAGACTGGATCGTCGAAAGCGTTGGAAACCGATGCCTTGAGCTGCTTCATGGGACCACATTCATAGAAGTCCGTGATTCCGTTCTTCAACATCTCCTGGCGTGATCTTCGCTAAGCATCCGAGTTTCTGCGTTTCTTTTTGGTGTGATCCCAAAGATAGTCATTCCACTAAGTTGATAGATCGACTATGGCGGAATCCAACATAACATTGATTGAAAGGGCGTATAGAATCAGCTTCTCTCTGCTTCAGGAAAAGATCCGCACCCAGGATCAAGTCACACACATGCGCCAAAGACCACGCACCCACGCGAACGCGGTTCCGCGGTTCCGCGAACGAGCCGCGCCCCCCGGCGCGCGCGGTAAGCGCAGTGGAAGGACTCGGCCTGGATGCTGGCCTGCCAAAGGACTGGGCTTGCCACCTGGACACGAAAACAACGGGTCGGATCGAGGGATTGGAAGGTCCGGGACGTGAAACCGAGGGCGACAGCAGGAAGGTGTGGGATTCCACTGAAACCAAGGCGTCGAGTAAGTCCTGGCCCACCATTGATTCAATATTTGCGGTCATCCCGAACAACCAGCTGTTTTACTATGGATTGTACACTACAAAAACAGGTCAACCATTTCTTTTATAGTGAAAGTCTAGGGAAAGATTGAATTGGGAATTCACTCCAGTGTTTGCAAGTCACTACACTGTTCCTAAAGGGGCCCATCGTATCCCATTGTCCACGTGAGCGAGTCTCGTACAAAGAATGCAAGTAACATCAACCAGGACCCTCCTGGCCAGGCTGTTGGGAGACCCTAACAGGTGGGGTTCACCTGGGCACCTCTCACCAGGAAACACTTGGACCTGTTCGGGTCCGGGAAGGTCATCACATGGGTCCAGTCCGGTCTCCGTGGTTTTCGTGCAAGACGGTCGCTGATACACTGTGTTGACGACGCTGTTTGGCGCCACCAGCCATGAACCCGTTTCATCGTGCAGGTCTTCATGGGTCCACTGCAGTTGGACACCATGTTATTGTGCCAAACTGTCAACTCGTTGGACTGTCATTGTCGTCGTTGGAAGGCAGGGGCTGTTTAGTTTCATGACGCCTGTGCTTTTTCAGGCAGATGTTCCATGCAGTTCAACTACTCAATCTGTTGGGCCTGTCAACAAAAAATGATGTCCACGAGATGGCATGTGTCTCTCCCAAGCTCCCCAGTGGTAAGCAATTCAATACTACCGAAACATGCACTCACAGCCACCATTGCTCTCTCGCTCACTGCCCACCCCCGTGGTTGCTCCGTCTTCCCGAACGTGCGCGTCTTTGCTTGGCGCGAGTTGGCAAGAACGCGCCGCGCCTGCGCTGCCAGGTCATAGTTGATCTCGCGGGGGTCAGTGCCAGCCTTTTGAGGCCCTCCACGGACGTTGGTATAGACCTCGACGCGATCGTCGAACGCGAACGCGCCGAACGCGGAGAACTCTGCTGTCCGCTGAGGGCGCATTCGCCGGCACGCCGCCCTGTCCGAGCAGCTGGCGGTCGCACCGCGGTCGCACCAGAGCGACGTGGTGGTCGACGTTTTGGCCAGTCTGGTCGACTGAGTTCGGGCCGAGGTTGACTCTGCTCTCATAGTTTAAGATGAATCCTGACTCTGTGTCTCTTTTGAAGATCGGTCCAAGTGCTGCAGAACCCAATTCGAAGAAAAACCAGCTGCTTCACCTTCCAGTGCTGGTTTCTTACACAGCTATGTTCAAAGGCCAAATCATGTTCAGCTCCTTTCAGCTTCTGCGTGAACCGCACTAAATGGCCCCACTCTTTGAGCCACTTGAGTCAAGTGAAGCTTCGATGAACCAGGCTTTCCGTCGCTGAAAAAGAGTTCGTCTTTGGAACCACTGGTTATACCTATAGCCTCTATAGTGGTCCCCAAATAGATAGAAACCGCTTCCAAGACATTTTTGGTGGGGATCCATGTCTTTTCTATCTATTTGGGGGTCTATTTATATATGGTATCCAATGGGTTCACTTCCATGGGTTTTCTGGAACTCATGTCCCACCTCCCTCCACGGTCCAAATCTGGGCCCTGCTGCGTCGACACGGGGGAAGTTCATGTCCGTGACCCTCACGCGGAGCGCCTTCAAGAGCTTGCCACCTCAACAGGCGTCTTCGTTTTTGAGGGGACTTTGGGCTGCTTACTTCGGCGAGGAAGCCACTAGGTCGGCAGCCCAAGGTCGGCAAAAAATGTGGTATAGACATGGAGTTTCTGGGAATATGTGAACCTACACTTCCTGAAACAATCATTGGAAGTAGAACCTTTTTTTAGTCCCTGTGGAAGACCATGTTCCTCTACTTCCGGCAAAATCACTGCGGCCGGCTTCCCATGGCTTCCCTGAGTGTCTGTGGGTCAGAAAGAGGATTTCATCCATCAAGAACACATCACTCTTGTTACTACTAGTAAGGCACTTGTTACTACTAGCGTGGCACCTGTTACTACTAGCTTCTTGTTACTACTAGTAAGGCATTCCTTAATGGATAGATTTCATCACCGCTCCTTGATGGTTTGTGTGTCTTTCATCAATCACCTTTGGGGCGCGAAAGAGGACGTCAAATGAAGACACATGGGAACAACAAAACCAGAAAACACTGGTCTCGGCAAACGGATGATGGTGAACAAAACCAGCGGATGATGGTGAACAAAACTACACACTTGACAAGTTGCAAGCATGAACTGTTGGTGTTGGCGGAAAGGTTGTCAGTCTATGAACTGCGCAGCGCACGGCACCGTATGTCACGCAAGGCAGCAAGTCCTTTTTAAGGCTGACATGAACACTTCTTCACCCTCGGACTAAAACGATAAGCGAAGACGTCCGCGACTTCCGCCATGGTCGTTCTAAGCCGTCATTAAAGAGCCCTTCCCCAAGATGCTGAAGTCAATTACACGGCAAATGCCATGATATCAGCAATCTGATTGCATCAAAACGGTTTGTATTTTCGACTAAAGGGAGACCTCATTTGATCCGCTGGAAGGAACATAGACCACAAGCCATTGGTGGTGGGGCATCCCTTTTTAAAAGAAAGTTATTCAAACATATTAAAAGTCAGGAACCCGACGCTGAGGAGAAACACGATAAACCAGAAGCTGAGCTGCAAGGTAACTGCATCCCTTTCCAACCGCGCCTGCTGGTTCCATCAAGGAGGTGTGGAAGGCCTTGACTCACGCAGAGTGAGTATGCAGCCGGGCCGTGGTAGCTCGCAAAATAACACATGGTAACCTGGTGAACCGCCTCCACAAACCTCTCCTTTCACCAAGTGGAAGGTTGTGGAGGACATGCATTGCAAAGCCGGCCGCAATCCACCAGCTTTGGAGACTCTTTCCATCCGATGCATCAGGATCTGCACTGTCCGTTTCCCTTTTCCTTTCTTCTTCTTTACTTCATGTTCTTTCTCGCCTTTTCTTTGCTGCATTCATTTTCTAGGCATGGGTAAGGTAACTGCCTTCTTTCCTTGTCGTTTCTCTTCTTTCAAGTTTTTCGATGTTTTTCTTCCTTGCCTTTTCTTGCTCTTTGCCACCTTCATTATTTAGGCATGGATAAGCTACCTGCCTTCGTTCCATTTTATTGTATTGTCTTTCTAGTCTTTCTTCCCTTTCTGCCCTTTCCTTTCCTTTCCTTTCCTTACCCTTTTTCTTTCTCTTTGCAGCCTTCATTATTAGGCATGGATAAGGTACTTGCCTTGTTTAATTTTCTGTTCTCTCCGTTCTAGTCTTTTTTTCGTTTTCTTTACATTCCGTGCCTTTCCTTTTAGTTCTCTTTGCAGTCTTCATTGTTTAGGCATGGTCAAGGTACCTGCCTTCTTTACTTTGCTTTGCTACTCTTTCTAATTGTTCTTGTTTTTTTCCTTCCTTGTCATATTTTTTCGCCATCACTATTTAGATCTATTTAGGCATACATCAGGTACTTGTGTTCTTTTCTTGTCTTTGCTGTTCTTTCTATTTATTGTTGTTTTTAATTCCTAATCTTTTGTGCAGAATTCATTAGTTAGGCATGGATTAGGTAACTGCTTTCTGTTCTTGTCTTTCCTGATTGTTTATGTTATTCTTCTTTCGTTGCCTTTCCTGTTTTGTCTTTGCACACGTCAATATTTAGGCATGGATAAGGTACAAAGCCTCTTTCAAAACAAATATGTCAAACCACGGCTTTAAGGGCCAAATTGAGTCTTCTGACCATTGCACGCGTTAAATTTATGTGTTGAGTTAACAAGCTGTTAACTAGTAGGTACCACGCTGGCTTTAAGCGCTGTGCAACTCAGGCGCAACGGCATCGTAGGTCAGAACCCAGCACGCCAAGAGTATTTTTTCCATGTCAACATGTCCGTCGTCGTTTTACATTGCTGGAATGACATGTCGACCCTAGGCTACTGGCACGTCCAACAGCTGCATGAAGCACTGTGACAGGCACGTCGCGTATTATACACGCGAGTCAGAGCAGTTACTACCCAGCAGCACGACAAAAAAAGGGCCTGTCTGATCACATGCCCTAGGCTTCCTGGCCCACCATTGATTTAATGGGCTTTACATGGCTTTACCAACAAACATTAATTCGCTAAGCATTTTACGCTACGCAACCAGGTCGTTCTCATTTTTGTTCATGGTCGAACGGAAGGCGTGTGGATGGTGTGGTACTGGTGTAGCAAAGTTTGGCCTTGGACTTTTTGAATGGTTGATGCATACCCGAGCCTTATCACAGGGAACCTTCAGGCCAACGTGTCCCTTTCCTGTATTAACCCGCTAGTCGCGCAAGTAACCGTTGAACCCAGTGGCTGTCATCACATTGCAATATTTTACTCCGGGGTGAGAGACATTACGCATTGCATCCCATTGACAAAGTCTTCTTTCTTGTTCACGTTCTTCGTCAGGACAATCTGCATGCCTTTGTATATTTGTGTCATCCATAGCTATGGACAGGAACGAGCATCTCACCATCATGTCTCGTCTCATCCTATGGCCACCTGTCGTTGGCCAGAAAACCTTGAATTCACAAAATGGGAAAACTTCAGAACCGGTTCTTTCTAGCACGCTACTCCCAGTGACTGGTAATGCCTTGAATTGCACCCTGCCAATTGCACACACGTTGCTATTGAAGGTAGGGGATTGCCAGCACAAGTGTCTGAATAGAACCTGTCTTGATGATGTCATCAGACCTTGGCAAAGTTAAGTTATCAACATGCCAACAAGAATAACTTTCAACGAGATCGACACAAGCAACTCTTCCAACCCCAAAGCCCTTCCGTGCGCTTCGCTGCAGCCCCAGTGACACCCGAGGTCTTCAGGAAACGTGCTTGCAAGGCGCCCTCCTTCTCACAAAGGCCTCGCTCAAAGGCGCGCGCGCGCGCGGGCGCGTCAGCGTGCTCGATTCTGTGCACGTTTCTGCACGGCATGGGCGCGGCTGGGCAGCACGAATGCAGATGCATTCAGCCAACACCAGGCTAAGATGCAGGGGACAAGAAGCTACTAGTAGCGATGTCCAAGAAAGGCTAAGATGCAAGGGACAGCGGTCTTCCAGACAAATCAGCCCACCAACAGTACCATCAGTTCCCCGTATATGATGAAAACACAAGTGCTTCCGGAAGCAACATACTGAAAGACAGAGTCATTTGCATGCTCAACTGACTCACTGGTTCATGCGACCCAGCATGACTCCAACACCCCATGTCATGTAGACTCTTGACTAAAGAAAACCCACCCCTTTGAATGCGCGCACTTGCGGTTCTGCGCCCACACCAACCCTTGCTCACTGGTGAAGCGGGTTTGGGTGGGATGTTGGTCATTGGTGAAACAGTGAGAGGATTTCACTTTGTACACTACACGAAACTACGAATGTGCATGAACAGGGGCCTAAACGAAAGCGCTTCCTCCACCGTACTCAAGACCAAGAATTATCAAATGTTATACGTGTTCTCTAAAGACCTTCAAGATGAGTCTCGAACAACCCCTTCTACCCAAATGCACCTAATTGTTGTCTGGATGCTGCAACAAATTAAGATCTTTTTTTGTTCTCATGGCATTGCGAACGCGGATCTGAAATTTTTGTTGTTTGTCATGGTCTGCTTCCTGCCGTCCTGGCCATTTGGTTTCACTCATGTAGGTATTCATTGCTGGAATCGGAACATTGGTGTGGAACGGAGGATTGCATGGGATTGGAAAATCACGAAAGTACCGGTATGTGGCCGGTCCATTTGGCAATTCTGGGCGATACGCAGCCCCTCCTTCATGGTCTGTGGTAAACTCAAGGGAAATCAGGCTCTTAGATCCAATTTTCTTATATGCGGGGACATGTTTGGATGTGTTTTACAATCCAGCGAAAGCTCTCTGCTATATTGCGCATCGACCGGTGCGAAGCGGGTAACATCTGGACTTTTGGATCAGTCAATGGGTATGCCCGCCATCCTTTATCTGTGCGAATCTTAATGGGGAGCATATTTCCTCACCAAAGCGTGAAAGAGATGGCAAGCTCGACCCATGAGATACCGCTGTCTCCTCTCTCAGGATGAGCGTGAGCTGGAGGCCATTTAAGGAGTGCTAAATATTGCCAAACAAGGCGCGAGATGCCCAAAAAACCACTTGGTGTGGTTCCGAGGGAATGGGGTGGGTCTCTCGTGTGATAACCCATGCTTCATATGTTCTTATTCGTGCGAGGAGAGGTGAGTGGACTACGTCGGTACCGGTTGTATGGACTTCTGGACCACATGATCGGGCAAGGCCAATGGGAAGGTCCTTCTGTGGATGTGTGTCCTCTTCTTCCTTTTGGAGGCGTAAATATGCAACATCAAGCATATATTGCCACAGTTTGGGGATAACCTGCAGCTGGGACTGATAATGATTACGGACTGTTTGACACAGGTCATTGAACTCTTGCAAATCATGTCTTCTGGTTTGCACTGCGGCCTCATCTGCGAAGGCATTTCCCCAAATATTGATGCAATCATCATCTGAGTGAGCCTCTGATGGCTGGCGATGAGACTTAATTTTAATGGTATAAAACCAGGTTGCATCCCACCAAAATTTAAGCCGCTGGATGAGATCCCAGTGCATTTGCTTATGTGGGTGAGAGTCGATAAGGCCATCTGCAATGGACTGTGTAATATTTATTACGTATTGAGAATGTGCAAAGCCCAACTCATTTCTGTGCTTCGAGTGGTGCTATGGCTTCGACCGCTACAACAAATGCATAGAGCTCAGCGCTATTAATAGTTTGGAGCCCTTGACATGCAGCCTAGGTCGTGGACACTGTTTTTGATCTGGAATTGGAAATTAGGTCGCATCAACAATGCAGATGCTTGTTTCCAAAAATCTTTAAATTGTTTGGAGGTGGCCCACGCCCTTGATTTACCATAGTCCTTTTGCATTCGTAATGCACTAACAAGGTTGAGAATGTTTGTCATAGCTCAAATGCTGCTCTTTCTGATGTGGTCATGAACGACCAGTTATCGGCATATGTATATGGCTTTAGCTGGGGTGTTGTCAGGGTCTGATGAAAGACAAAGCTAAGTGCCAACATGCCAACAACCGATAGAGAGTCGCCCTCTGGCAGGCCTGGGGTAGATGGGAGAGGCGGGCCCAAATCTTTACTTATCTGAAGGGATCTGGTAAGTTTCCTTAGGGACCTGAACCAGCATGTGGTCGCTTCCACTGGTATGCCGAGCAACGGAATAGGAACCACACCACTCTTCGTGGGATGAAATTAATGCTTTTACCAAATCCATTGTCCAGCCACCTCAGGCTGTTCTATGTGTATTGGCACTTTCAATTGTCATAAGCTGTTGTAGACTTAAGTCTCTTGCTGAACGGCGTGGCAAACCGCCACTTAGTTCTGGCGGCCAAGTTTGTGCCCAGTGATGCAGGACTTGATCTGCGACAAGCTTAGAGCTAAGTCGAGCTAAGTACCCTAAAATCGTGATGGGACGACCATGTGACATATTTTCGGGCTTGTCACACTTTGCAAATAAGAATGTTCGAGCCTGCATCTGCTGAGTAGTTAGCCCTTGTGTCCACATCTGTGATAACAGTTGGGAAAGGTATACCACCATATGCCAGGCCAATTGGCGTAGTTCTTCAGAATACCATCCGTCAACTCCTATGGCTTTGTGTGTCTTCATCCTTTGAATGGTATGCCAAAGGGTCTTAGGGCAATTTACTTGTGTTTGTCGGGGTACGACTTTACGCACGTCAGCGAACAATGTATGCCATGTTGCATCAGTGGTCTCCTCTTCGACTGTATCTTGGAGCCAAAATTGTGACCAAAATTGGTTAAATAGAGTGGACATCCGATCAATGTGGAGGTATAGCGTAAGGTGGCTTGTGTAGGCAGTGTGCCTTGAACATTAGTTAGTTGTAGCTTACTTCGGTCTTGTGACGCGACAGTGGCTGTGGCATCTCCAGGCTGGACTGTGGCTCCACTTGGGATATTAAATGACTGATGCATTCGAATTGCAGGTAGGGCTTTATTGCTCGTACAGAGGGTAAAGGCAGTTGAGCGTGTATCTGGCAGGTCTTGCAAGAATTTCTGTTCTTTTCCTTTGGTCACCCTATAGGCAGCGACATTATTGGTATGTGCACGGGCAAAGCCAATGACATGTCGACGGTGATTTTTCCTCAATAGCTGCTCCTGTTTTGCGAAGGCATCTGCATCAAATCGTGTGATCTGAAGGGCTAGACTTAGCCATTCTAGATCCGGCAAATCTATTGGAATGTGATGGATAAAGTCGAAACTAAGTAGCCAAGCAGTCCACGAATTCCCATAGCCCTGCGCCCGGAGAATGACTGGGTTTGTGGTTGTCGTTGGTATGCCTTGAGTTGATTGATCAGGGAGGCAATGCGCCTAACTTGGCGACCTCGACCTCTTCAGGAGCGAGGGTCCGGTCCGGGTCTCGAGGAGCGAGGGTCCGGTCTGACCCCGACAGTAGGTCTCGAGGAGCCGCCGTATCACTGCCGGAGTCGGGCAAAGCGGCCTCAAGCGTCGGCATCGCCTTCTGCAGCTGCAAGGCTCCAGCCCCGAGAGCGGACCACACCTGGTCATCTTCCGCGGCCTCCCAGTGGTCAGCCGCTTGCAGCACCTGCTTCACTCGAATTTTCCGCTGTGCGGACGGATTGCTGAAGGCGGGCGAGTTTTCCAAGACGCGGGCGAGCTTGCCAATCATAACTGCCAAGTTCTTTTCCTGGTCCTGCTTCTCCAAGATGTGCGCTTCGACCTTAGCCTCCAACAGCTCCTGCTTCTCCAACATCGAAGCCT